GAAGAGTCGCTCGAACCGTCACCGAGTCGTAGTACCGTAGTCCGTCGGTTCTTGACCGCTGAATGTGAATCCAGCTTCACCGATACGAACCACCCGACTTGAGTGACATCTTGGTCATAGTCGGACCCGACGAACGTTCGGTAGCGATGTATCCTTGTCCATCTTGCACCGTGGTCACCACCTGTCGCATGACCGAGAGTTCGTGGCTTGAGCAACTTGAATGTAGCCACTTCAGCGATTACTTGGAAATCACTACACCACAACTCATCAAAGCCAACGCGTACCTGACCTGCTCTAAAATGAAAAGGCTGTCTTGAACCAACTTGAACTGCGCCTGGAATGGTGTCAGCTTTTCTATCTTTTTAAAATATCCTAAAAAGTCCTATAAACCAGGGGTTGGAAAATAAAATATATAATTGTATTGGTTTTCAGAAAAAAATAATCCGTCATTGCCGTATCAACCAAAACAGTAATAAGTACTGCAATTATTGTATGCAATTAGTAGGGTTAGAGCGGTGTAGTGGTTTGGGAATGACCCTACCAATCCACCGCACAGGGTTCGTGTCCCACACCTGTACGAGAAGCTGGTGGTTGTCACCGGGACTTTTGTCCTGGCATAGGGGTAATCTAACAAACAAAAAATGAGCCGGCGACGGCAAGACAGTCCACCAGCGGATATGGGTTTTACGCGTAAAAGTTAATAATCTCTTATTTTATATATAGAGCAATTCTATAGAGAATGAGAGGGTTCATAACTATGTCTACTCTGCATCTTCCTCGCCGTCTCCGGCCGATTCATTGTATCCTACCAAAGAGGTGAAGTCCCAGAGCTCGCGGTTGGCACGTAGAAACACCAACATCACAAAGTTTGCTGGCAGCATGCTGGAACGCAAAGGGTTGAACACCAACTTGCACTGAGAGAAGAGGCGTTCGCACTTATTGCTGGTAGGTGGAATCATTCGCAGCAGGTCAATGTACTTGGTCACAGTTGCCAAGCGAGGTCGCTTTGCATGACGCAGAGTTTCCGTCGCAAAGTCCACCTTCTTTGGAGTTTCTTGCGCGGAGTCAGTTGGACCAGCAAATTGGGCAACCGCCTCTTCTTCGTCTGAGATCAGCAATCGATCCGATAGCAGCTTGACAACGGCACTTTCAAACGCGGGAGAGTGAACGATTTGAGCCGATGGACTAAGGTGGTGTGCTGTCGCTGGAAACTTCGCAATAACCGCGTAGAAGAGGAGTCGCACGTCAGCAAGATTGCCTTCCTCGGACTGTAGCCTGACACAGACAATGTCTAACGCTTCGAGCTGAGTAATCAGCTCCACAATCTGGCGGTGAGTACTAGGCCGCGGAAGAAGGTCCTCTACAGCAGCAACCATTTTGATGGCATCGCGGATCTTGACGTAGCGGGCCAGCATCTGGTACGTCGACGACCAGCGTGTAGCATTCGCCTTCAGCGGCTTGTACTTCGTGAATTGGGCGAGCTTCGCCGCGTTATTGGTATACCGCAGCTGAATGCACAGTGTCTGTACTTGATCGATCAGCGACTTGAAGTCTTCAAGGTATCTGCAGACGGTGAGGTTGAAACGATGGCTGGCACACCCGACGAGAGGCACGCCCACTCGCGTAGCTACGGCTTGGTTTGTAGAGCAGTTGTCAGCGACCAGGAACAGGGCCATGCTTGGCTCCTTCTTGTACAGGTCCAGTACCGCATCAATCATACCGATGTGAGCATCTGCAGTCTGGCCGTTCTCGGCGGGGGACATCGCAAGCAAGACTTCGTGGAGGGCTCCTTCCTTCGTGAACACGGCGTAGATAGCGATGAAGTGGTAAATACCTGAAGTGCACCTGTCAAACATGTGGCCGAACTGGTTTCCCATATCCGTCGAAATGCGCGACCCCACCTTGCTTGCAACGTGACGCATGTACTTTAGCAGGGTCTTCGACGAGACCGGCTTGATGGCAGCTAACGCGCGCGTCATCGGGTCATCCACCTCACTCAGCGCCATGTTCCTGGCAATAACCCACTCCATCCACTTGAAATTCTCCATCGTCCGCTGATCAACAAACCCGTGTGCTTCGAGCGACTGGCCAAACGACTGCTGACTCTCCTCGTACGTCTCCCTGAACCCTGGGTGGTTCGTTGCCAGATGACTCATGAGGTTGGTGTATCCCGTCCCTGGCGACTTCTTTCGAGCTCTGCCGCACTGCTTGCAGAAACTGGCCGTTGCCACAGTCCGTGAAGAAGAACTTGGTGATGGTGCGTGAAGTCGACATGGCAGTTGGAAAAGAGAAAATGAATGACAGCACAGCGTTTTTAAACGCCTTCGTCTAGATCACACCAACCAGTCGTTCGAAGCGAGCGCTGACCCGCCAATGATTTCTCTATTTGTGTTTTTACGTATAGTAAAAACTCAATATAGTTATTACGGGGGCCAATTGTATATTGTACGGAAATCTCTTTTTACCAATCCTGCTATAAACCAACTCTCCTTGGCCTGTGCAACGCGCAACATGTTGTGGAACTGACGCAAGGCCCACCTACGCAAATATCGTGCGGACTTGCTTCACGGGCAACCCGCTCGCCTTAGGTACCCATCGTAGAATCAAATCAAATTAGAACATGTTAGGGTATTTACGACAGGTTATTTGACCCTGGAAATCCAGATTTGTTGAGATGCTTATTCACACTAGGGTTCATTCTGCAGATGCGACCCACTGCTTAGAAGGAGCGGGGAGTTCAACCTCTAGGATATCTTAGGAGTTTCAATTGAATAACGCCGAGTTGTTCCAGAATTTTTTGGACCAACTGATTTACCTTCTTTTTTTTTAATTCTTGTTTCAAAGCCTCGAGTAACTCAACGACAAAGCAGTACTCTTCACTCATGACTTGCTGCCCCGTCGTTCAGGTCGTGCCGTTCCTAGCAGTATCAGCTGTCAAACGAATAGCTGCCACCGTTTTGAAGAAAAAAAAAAACTTCGGGCAGGGAGGGCACTCCACTTAACTTGATTGATCAGGTGACGAACTCGTCGCGGGGGCCCTCACAGTCGAGGATGGGGCCCCCGTTGAAGAGTTGTTTGAGTCTGCTCATCAGCATGACGGCACAGAATCCTCGAATTTATTCAATCTCGGCTAAGAAAATAAAAAAAAGTGGAAATTGCTCTAGATGTGTATCTCATCGCTACACGATAATGTGAGATATGTCCGGATATGCACGGCTATAAAAATGTGGCCATCCATATAACATCCACGTATAGGGCACCGGTGAATCTAAGACCTTTTACAAACCTGGGCTAATACTACCGATGAGTCCTGAGATCGATGCACCTTCAGTACTCAGGCCCGCAAACCAGAAGATGGAAGAAAAATCCACGGTTTCTAGTCTTTTGTTTGTGCTTCTGCAATATGACTCAACTTGAGTGGAGAAACCTACCAGGACGCTAGATATTAGTAATTGTAACTCGCTAACCTATCGTGACCTAGATAACGAGTCTATGATAAGCAAAATAGTGTTCGACAAAGCCTCGCGTGGGCCTCAGGGGCAAGCTCTTACAGGACCAAATATCGAAAGCTATCATTACAACGAGCATACCGCCAGCTCATAACGAAAGAACATTTTTTTTTAGGATTTATTACAATCACGCCTCACACTTTAGGCGTCCGACCTATTGAAACCCTAGCAATACACTGTTTTACGCGACTGTAGCAACAGTATCGGCACCAACACGGAATCCGCACGTTCCACAGAAAGCGAACTCCACTCCTACCATAGCATTGCAACCAGGACACACGCGGTCGGTCTTGTCGACATTGTTCCGCTCGTTCTCCCTATCAGCAAACATCTTCAGCTCCGCAATAGCAGTCGAGAGACTAATGCGTTGTTCCCAGTCCGGATCAGTAAGTCGCTTCACGAGCTCCCATTCGTCGTCAGCAATTCCTTCAGGACGAGGATACTCCTCTCCAGAGAATAATTTCTCCAGAATAGTATCGTCGTCGTCCAGAGCGAACGGAGGTGCATCCGAGAAAGCCTCAATGATACACATTCCGAACGAGTAAACGTCCGATGCAAACCGCGGATTATTCGTCACGTCTACCTCTTCGCCCATAGGCATCAGACACTCGGGAGCTTTCCAACGCACAGTATCCGTCTGCGCCTTCTTGCTCAAACCCACAGATTGACTGCGGATGTAGCTAAACCCAAAGTCGCAGATCTTGGCGTTGTCATCAGCGCCGATCACAATGTTGTTGCACTTTAAATCGCCGTGCACCACCTTCTGTGAGTGGATATAGTCCAAACCCACTGCTGCTTGGTGGAACAGTTTCCAAATATTGGCCTTATCTTCCATGAAATGGTCCGCGAAGTTGCCATGGATGGCGTCTTCACACACAAAGAATGCAGGTGTACTCACATGACACGCGCCGAATAGCTCGACTACGTGTGGGTTGTTGAGTTTCCTCCAGACTTCCACCTCTTTAAAGAACGACTGTTTGGCCTGATCGTCGTCCATCAGTAGCGACTTAATCACTACTTTGGCCCCTTTTCCCCATGTCCCTCGAGTCACCGACCCATAAGACCCACAGTCAAATTGGTCGTTGACGTCGAAGTCCACGTCGTCACTTGAGATGAACCACTCAGGCACAGCAGGGACTTTAGCCCCTGACGTCCTGGTGATCTTGTTAAATGTCCTCTTCATCATAGCCAATGCGGCCATGGAGTTCTGTGCTTTCTTATGTGTCATTTCGTATTTCAACATTGCCAGACTCTCGACCAGATTGTTGTCTTGGTTCCTGATATCCGCGAGGATTCTCTGGTGGTTGGTGGCCATGCTGAGCAGCTTTTGCTCCTGTTTGCGTCGATCTTCGTCCCATTCTCGCTTCCATTTGGCCATTTCTTGGATGTGCACGACAGTTAAAAGTTTATACAATTCGTCGATATCTTCGTTGAAATCTTGGATCGCAGCCACCACCTTGCGGTTACCGGCGAGGCGCCTGATGAAACTTTTTTTCGCTTGTTTTTGCAGAAATTTGAGGAAGTTCGCGATCGTGTTGCCGTACATGAAGAGCACGCGGTTCTGGCGCATGGCTTCCTCGTCTGAGATCTTGCTGAGCTCCTCGCTGACGACCTGCAGACGCTTGTAGACAGCAGTGCACATCTCTTCGTTCTCCTCGAGCTCCTGACACAGCTCGATGATGCTGCTTAGAACGTTGACGATGAGACCACCTACGCCGGGGACGACGAAGGTTGCGACGAGCGAGCAGACGCCAGACATTGCAGTAATATTGAGATCAAGGTACTTGGTGGAGGGAGGGCGGGTCTGAGAGTGAGGAGCAGGGACGCAAGATGATACCCATTGGGTACACTTCAACGAAATTTTGACAGGAAAAGGATGTGCGGAATAAAAAAGCGGATTTAGTTTCCAGAATGCGTATTTTTTTAATTTTTAAAAAATACGCATTCTGGAAACTTGCATGTAGTAGTGAAAAAAAAATACATTAACGAAAATGCCAGCGAAGTCTACAGTGTTAACTATGGCTCCTTTCGCTGTTATGGTAGTATTACGATATCTGACTATGTAAACGCTGTAAGAGGAGATTGGAGTTTTAGATTTGTTGAGAGCCTTGTTAATACAGTCTGCAGGTTGTTGCAGCTTTAATTACTGAAGCCTGGTTAATCAGTTTGTAGGGTATCCGGTTATCGACACGGTCCTCTCTGTTGTTCTAAACTGTGAGTCACTTTGTGTTTATTACGAGCAGCCACCACTCTTCTTGCTCTGGCTGTTGCTGTCTTGGAGTTTCGAGTTTCACTATGGGAGTGGCCGGCTTACTGCTGCCAATGGGCGCTGAAATGCTCTTTCAGTACTCGGGCCCGCAAAGTAGTAAATGGCATTGAAACTGTGATTTCTAGTCTACTAATTGCGCTCCCTGCGAGAAACATCCCGTAGTTTTAGTGTCAGCTACTCTAGTCTACTCCATGCTACCCCCCCCCCCCTTAGCAGTCAATTGGCCTCTTCACGGTAGCTTGGAACCTGACTCAACTTGAGTTGGCACAAATTGGTTCTGAGTCTACCATCTTAGACAGGTTCATCTGTATTCATGAGTTTGAAGAACCAGCTCAGATTCCGTGCCAAAAACGTCCAAACCAAAGATAACTGGGTGCATACTGCACCAGAAGCCAAACTGCTTTATACGAAGGGAATGCCAGTCGTTGCAGCATCACTTCACATTTCTTTCCAATTAATCCAGACCCCTCTTCTTCCCTACTGCAATAAACAGCAACTCCATGCAACCGAGGCGGTACATGCCACTAGAGATATCAAGGACGTGGCGACCGATTCTCGAG